TGGCCAGCGTGTGATAAGGTCCATAGCCACAGATTTTTTATCCACAGATTCAAGCATCCACATTGTGAATATATATATTTCCAAAAGCAAGCCTTGATTTTGCCATTTTATATAAGGGATGTGATTTTACTGTGTCATAGTATATATAATGGGGCTTGAGTATCCATGGATTCTGGTATCAACCAGCGCAAATATAATATATATGACTAAAAACTACCATACAGAAACTACAAAGAAACAAACGGAAAACAACAACAATCCTAACATAACAGAAAAAAATTAACGTACACTGAATTCCTCACACACACACCCAAACCATTGTTATATCCCACTATCACTAGACCTCCTTTCCTATTACACAAGGCTTCTACCATATAAGAAAACTCAGTTCATTTCAAAAATGTAGAACCCATAACTGTCTCCCATAAGAATGCATGCAACAAATAAACATTTCCCTTTTTAAAAAAATTGTCAAGTTGTTCATTTCAACAAGTTCAACTATCTTCAGCAACCAATCTTCTTGAGTTGGAGTAGCAGATTCCTTCCACCTCTGAGTACAGAAAATTCTCACTACTGCAATCAAATACTGCAATGGTTTTCAAATGGTGGGGCTGGTGTTTGGAAGGAGTCCCAGGGGTAAAATGTACAATGTGGGGAATAGCAGCAGCCATGATGACACAGCATTTGATCACTGCTGACTCATGCTGTGTCATAGGATGTGACATCATGGAGATGGTCACTTGGTGCTGGAAAGCACACAAAACTGCTGCAAAACTGCAGAGTCACTCAGGTGAGTGACAGGTGTCCAGCAGGAAGAGGCAGGGCCAAAAGGCCATGTGGAGCCATGGCTATATAAGGCAGAAGCCTCTGCAAACACATGTGGTGGTGTAGTCGTAGTGGATTGCTGTGGATGATTGTTGTAAATAGCCTTGTACATAGAGGAACTAGGGGGGGTTGCAGACTGCCAGAAATAGTGCAAATTGAGTCCACTTTTAGGGTTAGGGTTAGGGAATCATTGGAACTGTATTTTATTGTGGCACCAGAGCTCTCTGACAGAGAAGGCGCAAAGTCTCAGGAAAAAAATACAATTCCCATGGTTCCCTAGCACTGAGCCAAGGCAGTTAAAGTGGATTCAATTTGCACTATTTCTAAGCAGCTGTGGAGCTAAGCAGACGGGCGGCTGTGGGCCGCCCTGGGAAGCTGCGCCACGGGACCGAGGCATCCCCATACCTCAATCCTGCGGCGCAGCTTCGCTGCCCCTGAAAGGAGCACTGAATTAGCACTCCTTTCACAAGTCA